ATGGGGCAGGTGTTGTTACTTCTACTTTACACCAAAAATTGAAGTATCCCGTGAAAGGAAAGATCATTACAGTTTGTGGCAAAGAAGAATACATGGTGATCCATTTGAACTCCTTCAAGTATGTTGAAATGGATGGTGAATTCCTCGAAGCTCCTTGTAGATTTTTGAAGTTATTCCTCAGACAACCCCTGTTGCTAAAGTTATTCCTACTGTTCCTAAGGTTACCAAGATGGCTTATCTGAAAGATGCTAAGGTTGTGGTAGAAGAAGGTGGTAGCACTATTTAGGGTCATCTTCTCGACATTCCTTACAAGTCCGACAAATTTGGCTTGGGTTTCACCTTAGAGGCTCAGAGGGATGTCCATCATGCTCGTGCTAATTCTGGGATACTTCCATTCCGCATCAACAATAATGGAATTCACCAAAATCAAGTCAACACTGTGGAAGACGCTGATAGCAACTGTGACATAGACAGTTGGATTTTCCCTACTAGCGGCAGTGGGCTCAAAAATTGGAAGGCTGAAGACTTTATACCAATCTCCTTTAGTCAGGAGTAAATGCTATTTTTTGTTTTCTTTCTTTCAAGTTTTTTAAGCCTTGTGCCTTGCCCAAGCACAATGGTCCATTTGTTAGGGTTGTCATTTTTCATCCACATATTTTCATTTAATAAATCATTAGATGTTTGCATTCAAATTTTGCGCTCTTTGTCTTTATTTTAATTTATTGCTTTCAAAATAGCTATGTGTTCTTACACACACCCACATAACAAATTGCATATCCACATCCACCATGGGTCTCAATGATAACAATTCTTTTATTTCCAATTATAACTTCGAAAATTCGATCTACTAAGTCGAGGATAAAGGTGAGGAAGATTGTGAAGTACCTGGAGAGCTTGCTAGACTGTTAGAGCAGGAAGAAAGAGCCACACAATCGCATGAAGAGTCGGTTGAGGTTGTAAACTTGGGTACTGAAGAGGACAAAAAAGAAATCAAGATAGGTGTCAATCTAGATGATAGTTCCAAAAAGAGGTTAATCCAGATGTTACATGACTATGTTGAGATCTTTGCTTGGTATTATGAAGACATTCTAGGGCTTGATACTAACATTTTGGTTCACCGTCTATCGACGAAGGAAGGTTGTCCTCCTTCATTATCATTAATTTGAGGCACGGTTCCTTATGTTATATTTACTTGAACAATTGAATTATTTTATTCTCTCATACTTCACTCACTCAAAATTTCATTTTCAAATTTATGTGATGTGTTATGAAACACATTTCCTAGAGAATCGGTTATTTCTCACCCCTTTCATCTACTTTGAAAGGAAAGAAATTTTTTAGAATACCACATCTTGTAACACAACGAACTTCTATGTTTGGAGGTTGTATATTTACCATCCCTTTTTTTCCTTGTGGATAGCCTGGAAACACACATTTATATGCTTTTGGCCCAAACTTGGCGCATTGTTTAGATGTTGTCGCCATATAACATTGGCATCCAAACAATTTTAGATGGTCATATTTTTGTGGCTTTCCAAAGAGGATTTCATATGGAGAAGTTCACTTATTATCCATAATGGATGTTTGATTAATCATATGATATGTATAAATTACACATTTTCCCCATATGCAAATGCGAATATTTGCTTGAAACCGCAATGACTTTTCCACGTTTAATGTATGTTTGTGTTTTCTTTTTACACACCCATTTTGTTCATGTGTGTTAGAGTAAGATCATGAAGCTTTAAATGTGAAGCTTGCATGACCATAGTAAGCCTTAATGTAGAGTTAGAATAACTAACTCTCAATTTAGTTACAAGAAACCATGCAATGTATATATAGAGATCATAGTCTCTCTTAAATCAATCAATGAAGCATGCAAGATAAGATTGCATAGTACAATATTCTCTACTTTCTAACATGGTATCATCCGCCTCAAAAAGGCCTGAATCCACTACATCATCATTGTCTTCAACCTTAATGATTCATCACCACTGTTAATTCGCAAAAGCTTCATAGAAGCGTTTTTTACACTAGTCGCAACAACGGTTTTACACGGTTGATTTGGAGAGTTCACAGCTTCAAAGAAGATTACTTACATCCTCGATCCTTGCATCTACATCGTGAAAAGTTTCATAGAAACATTTCTCATGTTGGATCTTAAGAAATCACTGAACTCTTCGCATCAAGAATCGCCCAGTGCACAAACACATTTGTTTTCACGTATCTCGAATACTTTTGCACCAAAGATTTCCATCAATCTTCAAGAAAACAACTTCTTGCTATGGAATCAACAAGTGGAGAGAGTTATCATTTCACACAAACTTCACAGAATTATGGTGATTCCACATATACCACTGATATTCGTCTCTAATGGTGATTGCATTGCCAACATTGTGTTTGAGAAGTATGAAGTGTGGGTTGTTCAAGATCAGGCTTTGTTCACTTGGGTTCTATCTACCATATCGGAAGTTGTTATTCCTCGACTTCTCTCATGCAAACATGCACATGAGATTTGGGATAAGATTCACAAACATTTCAATTCATAGATGAAACCTCTAGTTCATCATCTACGAGCAAAAATCAAGATGAGCAAGATTGGTTCTAAATCCATCTATGAGTATCTTTTATGTATTCGAGCCATTGTTGATTCACTATTTGCAGTTGACGATCCCATATCTGAACGGGATCAGGTTGATGTTATCTTGCGAGGGTTACTAGAGAAATGTAACCCTTTCATCATGATGGTCTATAGAAAAGGTGAACCAACTTACATTTATGCTGTTGAAGCTTTGCTCTATTTCTAAGAAGCTCAATTGAGCAAGTACAAACAGGAATTGGCCACACCAAGTGAAATTGCCAATATGGCTCAAGCATCTACTACTGAAAGTGACAGAAATGGCTTCTCCCACAATCATGGTCAAAATTACTATTGTGCTAGGGGCATAAATCAGTGTGGTAAAGGTCATGGCAGACATAATTTTTCCTCAAGAAGCAGGCCAACATGCCAATTGTGCAACAAATATGGGTATTCAGTTCTTAACTACTAGCATCGATTTGATGAGAAATTTAAGCCAACTCCACCAAAATCACAGGTGCATGCTTCAACTAATAATGATACTTAAAGTTACAAGACTACACCTACAAATGTTAATTCTGCTAATGCATATCTAGCGCATCACAACACATTGGAGGTTCCACAAGAGCTTGAATCATAAGCATGGTTTGCGGATTCAGGGATATCCCACTATATAACTTCAAACCTTATGAATATTCATACTATGAAAGTGTATACAGATCTAAATAAGGTGTTAATTGGTGTTGCGACTGGTTTTTTTAATCAGAGTCTTCACCCTTGATTTTTATCCTAAAGGAATAGAGTATAAAGAAATAACCCTAAAAGTCAGAGATTCTAGATTTGGACTCGGTTCTAGACGAGGGAAAGGTGTTAGCACCCCTATTTACCTTGTTCACAAGGATACTAGGTTTAGAAGCACGATCTTAAGAAATATGGTTTTTAATTATTATTGGGAAAAAGGGTTTGAATTTTATTTAGCGGGAACTCGCCACAATTTTTGATCGTATGCCTACGCATCCTCTTAGGAGGAATCAAAGTCTCATTTCATAGTTTACGGGGTTATTTGTATTTATTTATGTATTGGGAAAATATATTTTGAATTTCCCGCATACTTAGTTTAAGAGTGTGATTAGCAGAGTTTGTTAGACCAAGTACGCAGTTAATTTAAATATATTCGTATTCGTTTTTGAAAATTAATGTTGAATTAATTTATTACGAAAAAAAGATTTGATGTTTGGTTGAATATTTTATACGTAGAACAAAGGAGTCTGATATAGCCTTCTCGTCACGTGGCCAGATATTGGCCACATGTTGCTTGCGGATGTAGTAATTCGGAGAATCGCGGGTTTTAATATAAAAACATTAAATTAAATTATATGGTGAGAAACGTTTTTAAGTACATAATTTAAGGATGTGATTTAATGTAAATAAATAATATTATATTTTAATTGAATTAAAGAAAATAACTAATTAATTATAAAAATAAATAATAATCTAACATTATAATCATAAAGATATAAATATATAACTATATATAAATATATTAAAAAAAGAATGAATATATATATATATATATATATATATATATATATATATATATATATATATATATATATATATATATATATATATATATATATATATATATATATATATATATATATATATATATATATAAAAACAGAAAATACTTGAAAAAATAAAATAAAATAAAAACGTGAGGGGTGTAAACTGCTTTAAGTTAGTAAAAGGTGGTGTGTGAATAGCATGAGCCTGAATTTAGATTTTTGAATTCAGGCCCAAGAGGCCGGGGAGGTGCGCTCTAAAACTAAATGGTAAAAGTGGGGGGGTATAGATGACTTTGGGCTTGAGCCCATATCTCGTTGGGAGGTTTGGTTATGTATGGAGGTGCGATATACAGTTAAAAAAGGAAAACTGGAGGGGTTAATATCAATGGGCTTGGCCCAAAAGCGGATCAGTGAAGGGTTCGTTGGGATCTCGTACAGGAGCATGCATGGGAGTTACAATGGACGCGTCCATTGAGAGTGTTAGATCACGATCGAATGGTCGCGATGGAGGGTGTATGGCAATGTTTATGGGTCCACACGCGTAGAATCGGTTAACACAATATAATTTCTTCTTACAAAAAAAACTCACTCTTTACTTCTCACTCTCTCTCCGCTTTTATGCTCTCTCTTCTCTCCAACCGTTCCCTTCTTCTCTCAACAAAACCTAGCCGCGTCGTAAGCCTAAACTCCGATTGGCCACCCCAAAGCAAACCCCTTCGCAATAACTACTCGGTGCAGTTTTTTTACGAAAGCTAAGCCTCTATGAATCACCGTGAGCCTCCTTTCAATCTCCTTCATTTGTCCGATTCTCCTATATTGGACATGTTTTCCCTGTTTTGTTTCAGGTGCGGCGGTTACGGTGATGGTGGAGACGCGGTGGCGCGGTGGGTGGTGTTTCGAGGGTTTCGGATATCGAAACCCCAGATCGGGGCGATGATGGAATATGTGGGTCGAACAGCAACACGGGGAGGATGAAGAAAAGCGACAGTGGCGAGACTGTCAACGGAGATCTCTTTCCTTCTGTCTACCTCCGTCTTCAGATCTGTCAAACCTCCCTCCCTCTTTTTGTTTTTCGTTTTTCTCCCCCTTATTGTGAACATTTCTTTTATATTTTTCTTTAAATTAGGAAGTATATAAATACCTTATTATTCTGTTCTTAGAAATTTAGGAAAGGACATTATGTGTCTGTATTGATTAAATTGTTTCTGTTTTCAGTTTGGCAAGTTTTTTCTGTAGTTTTAATAGAAACGATTTGTTTCTGTTTTTTAGTGTAGATTTAGTTCTGTATTAACCCTGTTATGAAGTTTTGATTTTGTAATAAGCTAATTTAGTTAAGATCTGATTTTTTTTTATTTGAACAGTTGTAGTCTTAACAGTGAGGAAACGTGTGTTTTTATTTCTTAATTTGTACTGTGTGTGTTATGACAGAAACAAATGTTTCCTTCTTCCGTGAACTAAACAGTAATTGTTCTTAGGTTTTGGGCCATGCGCTGACTTGGGCTTGCAGGGATTTTTCGTTTTTTGATGAAACAAGAATAACATTTACTGATATTAAAAATAAAATAATTATTTTTAAAACAGCAAAATTGAAATGGGCCTTTTGGGCTCCGAAAAGTGCTACTTTAAAACAGGCATTTTTTCTTGATCTGGACTGTAAGTAATTTGTAACAAAAGCGGACTTTATTTTTTAATACTGGGCTTGGACTTGATTTTAACAAACAGTTGTTTTTTCTATAAAACAAAATATTTTAACCATAGACAGTTTTTTCTCAAACAAAAACCTTATTGGGCCGAAATTGCCTTTAAATGTGTTTTTTTTCTTTCTCCCAAATTAATAACTTTAAAAATAATGTTTTAAACACGATAGGAATAATTACCAACTATAATAATAATGATTAATAAAATTGACTAATAAATAGTCATAAATTGTCTCTCAATTATTTGGGTTATCAAGAAAAAACTATAATGGGCTTGAAGTTTGACCACTATTGGGCCTTAACCAAAACAAAATTGTTCACCTCCTTTGATTAGAATAATGCACCTCCCCTTTTTAACTTGAAATGGGCTTCCCTTTTAAAAACCTAATGGACCATTAGATATTGATGGTCCATTTTAAATCAATACACCCCTCTTTAATGTTTTGCACCCCCATAGAAACATAAACTAAATAATGTGATTTATTAAATAGAAAACCTAAATAAAAATAAGGGTAGGGAAAATTTAGGGTATGACAATTGGTAATGGTCTTGGTCTAGATGTCAAAATCATAGGCCATTCCACAATTATTTCTGGTCTTGATTCTAATATTGCATTGCATCTCAATGACATACTTCATGTTCCTTAAATTACCAGAAACTGGATTTATGTTTCTAAATTTGCTAAAGTTAACAATTCCTATTTTGAATTCCACTCTAATGTGTGTTTTATCAAATCTCAAGCATGTAGTGTGGTTCTTCTTGAAGGCTTCCTAGATGAGAGTGGGCTTTACTACTTCACCAGCATTGACTTGCAACCCTCAAGACCTAGCTTAAGTCACAAGTTTCTCAAAATTGTTCCAACTGTTAACACTACTTTAGCTTCTTCGAGTAATTTTGATTCATGTAATGCTAATAAAGTTGTAAAGCATAGTAGTTGGGTCATTTGGCATGCCATATAAGGTCGTGCAAATTCTAGGGCTCTCAAGAGCATTTCCCAATTATGTAATATTTCTTTGAGTAATAAATTTTTTAATGACTTATGTAATTCATGTTGTGTTGTCAAGTATCATAACTTACATGCTCCTGTATCCAAAACTAATTAAACTCACCTATTTTACCTTGTGTTCACAGACCTATGATGGACTTCTCCTTCACCTTCTAGTGGAGGATACTCCCATGGTTGTCAAACTCGCGGGTAGAGTCATAAACTTGTAAGAGTTTATGAGTCTAGGAAGAAAAAATGAATAGACTCGCACATAGAATCATTTTTTGAGAGAATCAAGTAGACTTGGGTAGACTCGCACAAATTCATATAGACTCGCGAGTCTATGGTGAGTTTACGAGCCTATAAGTTTTACTAAATTTTGTTTTTGTAAACCCAAAAAAGGCCCAAATTCCTCAAAATATTGTATGTTATTTATAAATAAAAAAACTTTTTTTCTTGTACGGGAATTAGAAAGTATCACTCCTAGTCTCTTGTTTCATCAAATTTTCTTCCTCCCTTCATTGGCGATATAGTCGTATTTGATCTTTCTCTTGATTTGTTTTTGTTTGTTATCGTACATAGTGAAATTCTGGTATGATAGAACTCAGATGTCATATGACATGTTGGGACATCTGATCAGACATAAACAAATAGGCAAGGTATAAAAAATTAAAATAATACTAAAAATCATAAACAACACACATGAATTGTTAACCCAGTTCGGTGACAACAACACTTACTCTGGGGGCTACCAAGCCAGAAATAAGATTCCACTATCAGTAGTATTATTTTATGTAAGCAACCTCTGATTTACAGGTAAACAACCTCTAATTTACCTAATCACTGCCCAATGCAATCTTTATCTCAGAACACCATCTAAGATAAGAAAACCTCTGCTTACTTCCTAGTGATACCTAACTGTTACAACCTCTGATAACAGCATCGAACTACTTGAAGGATACCCCTTATAATATCAAGTACAGTCAAGACTGTTGACAAACATACTTAGAGTTGCTTAAAAGCTTCCTCCAAGAACAATACTTAACTCATTACTTCACAGCTTTTGAGTGAGAACAATAATAAAGATTACAACTTTATAACACAGTCCAACTCACAACCCGAGTGGATCATATAGACCAACTCTCCTAGAGAGTGGTACACAAACTCAACCCTAATAATATTGAAAGTTACATTTTCAGATGGTACCAAAACTAGGTTACAAACACTTCTATTCATAACCTTTTCCCAACTGGATTTGGGCATCAAAAACTCAACAGAGAGGCTGCACAAAGTCCGCAAAAACTTCTCCAAGAAAATAGGTCTTAAATTAAAGCTTTCCAAAAATATCTTCATATTTAGAACTATGAATATCTTGAATACCAATATAAAATATTTGACTTATCAATTGGATGCCACATAGGATTACTAAATATTCTCATAATATTAAGTAATTAAATCACAACAACTGAATTCAAACTGTCAGCTGTAGCAGAATTGATGTCCTGCCCTTCTGGTTAGGACATCCCATTCGACATGTTCAAATAGCAAGTTGAAACAACTTCCCAACTACAAAATTGTAATAGTCCAGATGTCCTGCTCTTTTGGTTAGGACATCGCACTCGACATGTTGAAATTTCAAGTTGAAATATTTTCCAAACTACAAAACTGTAACAAACCAGATGTCATATACTTCTAGTTAGGACATCACTTCGACATGTTGAATCTGCAACTTGAAAATCTTGTTTAATATGTTGCTACAAAGTTAGTTTTACCAAAATTCATGTCAATCATAATTTCATAGAAATAACAATCTCCCCATTTGGAAAATTTTGGCTAAAACAACCAAATAATCCGTGCACAAGAAAACAACATAATCATGTTTGAAAATTCCTCAAACACACACATCAAAAGCACAACAACAATAAAAACATAACAACATAGTTATGAGCAGTAGTACAACCAGAGAAATAGTTAGTAGTTATTCAATCTACTAAACACAACTGTGGCAAATAGAGAACCTACATTCTCAATGAAGGTGTGAAGAAAATGAAAGGGGGTTTGAATTGTGTTTTCCTTTCTTAACAAACTTTAAGTTCTTAACATTGTTGTGTTGAGTGATGCTTTTGAATATGTTGTAGAAGCATGAACAATTAATCATAAGAAAAATTAAGGAACACGTGATATATCCTGGTTCACTTGAGAAACCCTTAAGCTAATCCATTCCACCCTACCAAGGTGATTTTGCCTTGAAATCAAGGACTTAATCCACTATAACCAAATCTGATTACAAATGATAACAATAAGTTCGATCAACCCTGCTGACAACCCTAACAAGTTCAGCTGATCCTTATTGCCAATTCTGCAAAGATCGCAACCTCTGCCTTCTTGTGAATCCTGACTCAACCGAGTCTCTAAAGGAACAATACAATGATACATTCAGTGATCTTGATGAGATATAAAGATTAAGGACCCCTTAAGAAATCTAACCAACCTGGTCTTTCTTAACAGGATTTCATCTACGATGACCGCATCCAAAGTATTCTTGAGAATCCTGACTCAACCGAGTCTCTCAAGGAACCATCAACATTCAGTTGATAATGTTTGTGTTTACATGATTGCTTCTTCCTAAGAATATTACACAAATGATTAAGTCTTGATTGTTTGACACAATTATAAGCAACAACTCTTGTATACAATTAATTTACATGAAGAACTAAAGATATAACACAATATGAGCAAAAACTCTTGTGTTTACATGATTCTACAAAGATGAATATGATCTAATTTTAAGTACAGCATCATGTAGTCTTCTTATCTTCATTTTCTTCAAGTAGCTTCTTCATGGACAAAAACCCAAAGCACTTGAATCCTTGAAGTCTTCTTCTTCATAAGCTTCTAAAAGCTTTGTTGATCTTGATGTAATAAACAGAAAAACTTCTTCATCTTGATTCATCTTATAACATTCTGGATAACAGCCCTTGTTCTATTTGATTCAATGATCACTTTAAAGCACAACATTCATGTTGTGGATTTGTAATTGGAGCTTCCGTGATTATCTTCATTATGATAATTTTTTGTTGTGTTCCCATAATTACAACTTCTATTTTAACATTTGAACACCAACAACATTTTAAGCATATGATCCCTTTCTTATATAGCCAAGAAAAATAGAGTTGTTGGCTATTGAAAAAGAGTCGTTACATAATGATGAAAATAGTACTGCTGCGTCCTTTTATTTTCCATAATTCAAGCTAGTGGAGAGGTAGTGGAATAAGGCTTTTTCATACTGTATACTTGTCATTGCTAAGGGTAACATTTGTATTCTGAACTTCAGAGGTTTCTGATGGTAGATGATTGAAGCATGAGTAGAACTGTGACATTTAAATCTCTAGATAATTAAGTCTTCAGTCGTCAGAAC